TCTGTGAGGTGAGCATATACTTTTTTAGAATGAAAATATGTATTGAATTCTATAGTAATCTAACCAAGCAAATACCAATGACTAAATAATATTCTATTCATATAGAATAATAATTGTACCTTTTTCTGGTGAAAATGAGACACTTGTTAATTTATGCATTGACTTTGAAAATAAATCATGTAATCTTAAATGCCTTAAATTATCGAAGTCTGCAGACATGTGAGGTAACAAATATACCCTCTGATGTGTAGTGATGTGCTCTGGTTTAAGTTGGAGATAGAATGTGATTGTAGATCAGGAAATGTGACCCTGAGGGTTTGAATGGTTTTTTATTGTATTTTTCAAGAGTAAATAAGTACATCATATTTCAAAACAACATGCTTTTAATGCTAATGTAAACCATGGAGTCTTCTTCATATTTTACTCCCAATAGATTTCTTTGCAAGTTCTTAAAGTGAATGGTGATATTTAGGAATCAGAATAAAATATTAGTCCTAGAAAGACTGTTAAAGATCATTCATTATATAAATGAAGAAATTGAGGCCCAAAGGGGCAAAATCACTTTTCCAAAGTCATACAGTTCTGGTGATTGAGCTAGATCTAGAGTCTGTTTTCAAATTTCCTTCCCAGTGATTTTCAACTGTTTGGGAACTTCAGGGGTCTCTGCAGGTATGTTAGGACTAAAAGGTTGTTTCTCACTTCTTCACGTAGAAGAAGCATTCTTCTTAAGAACTTGAATTAAGGAAGGATCCTAGTGTTAAAATGTATATATTTTAAAAAATTGGTAACCATGCCTTCTCCATGTAAATGGTGATTATAACAACTGAATATTAATATGAAGTTCTAAATGATTTGCATTTCATATAGTTTTATTTAAATAGGTTAAGTAAATGCGTCATAAATGTTTTCTATAAAGATGTAGATAAAAATGCATAAAATGCTCTCTTTTAGCTACCCTTACAATCGGCAGTATGTATGCTGGCAGATAGTATGCTAGCATACTATCTATGTATTTCAAAATGAAAAGAACTAAGATATAGTAGAGGCTGTGAGATTAATAAAAAAAAAAGTTTGGTGAAAGCAGGAGGCTTTGTTGTGTATAAATGGGTAGAAGTCTATCAGATTCAAACTATTACGTAGTGGGGACATTTATTTTCACAACTTTATTCCTTCTCATGAATTTCTTCCACAGGAATACAAATGTTGATTGACATCAGATTAATAACAATTCATCTTTCCCAAAATTGTCTAGCATGTTATTATTAATAGTGAGAGTCCCCTTTCTGAGATTGTGGTGACTATAACTATTCATGTCTTCTTAAGTCATGGAATGGCTGATATGCAATCCCTTTAGTATTGAATTTCTAGTTAACTGATATCTGCAAAGTTAATTCAACTATGTAGCACCTGAAATTTTTCATTGATCATTTCATCCTTTCTTAATCCTGAAAAGTAGTTGATCCTCCAAATAGATTTTAATAGACTGTCAAAAAAAAAATGTAAGCAAGAATCATTTTTTGAAGTGATTATTTTCCCCATTGGGACAGACTCCGTTTGTGCAATAATAACTCACAAACATTCTGGATTCTAGTTATGAGTTTCTTTCCTTTATTAGGGCAATTAAGTTCAATGAAATGAAAGCATGTTTAAAAATACCAGGAACATGGATTTCCCTCTGTAAAAAGCATTTTAAAAAACTTTAACAGAAAATTAAGATTATCTGAGCTATAATTTCACTCTTCTGACACTTTAATAGGTGTATAGCTTTCCTCAATCCAGCTGTTTTCCTTCACTACCTGTGGTGATGTGTTTGCAATATTAAAAACCAAAGGCACACACTAAACTCTGGCATTAGTGTTCTTAAAGTAATCCAGCATGAGGAGAAAGTGATTAGAAAGAAGACAGTTCCCAATGGAAGATGGATAAGCTATTTCTAGAAAGTACCATTACTACTGAAAAAACTAATTGTTTTCTGCTTGTTTTTGGATATTTCCACCAGTTCGAGAAGGACAAAGTGTGAAGAAACTTCACCTTGCTGCTGCTACTTATAATGTTCCTTTCCTGAAACTGCAGAGAATTTTGGATCTCCTAAGCAATATTTTTGAGACAATAGACTAATGTGTCTAAGAAAAAAAATGAAAGTGTTTCTGTGCCTATGAATGTCTAACTCAGTAATTCATTATTCATTTAATAACTATTATAGAATGTTTACTATGCGGTAAGCACTGCACTAGACAAAACAACTACTGTAGGAGCTTTTTCTGGATAGGCTTACATATTAATTCTCATAGGATTTAATAATAGTAAGAAAAATTACTGTGGAAATCTCAGGAGAAGAAATGCCTCTAAATATCACCCTGGTGCCCTTTTAGTACTTTGCAAAATTTGTTTTAAGCTAGTTCTACGAAAACTTACATCAGGATAAAAATTTATTGTGGGTATGGAGATATATTATTTAAGTTCTATAAAGTTTAATATAATATACTAATCATGAAATCCAGGGATATTTGGACTGATAGCTGAAAGCAAGTACTTCAAGTGCCATCCAAGTGAATGCTCTCCATGGCACAGTAATTTGGGAAGGACATAGGTTTTGAGTCAAATCCAAGGTCTTCCAGTAATTAATTGAATTAGCAGGAGCAAGTGACTTAGTTTCCCTCAGTCTTGGTGTCTTTTATGTATAAAACAGAACTAAGAATAATATCTACCTCATGAGGTTTTTTGTGAGAATCAATTGACTAATATAAGTGAAAGTATTGTGTAAAATTTGAAGTCCAATAAAAAATTACTTTTTGATAGCAAATACACAACAATGTCCATTCATCAACATGGAAACAGTATTTTTGTGTACAGTACCAACCTTTCAGATAAAGAATGTCAATTCTGTCAAAATTCCTAACTGAAAATGACTGCAGTAGTGTAAATGTTCATGGTCAATATAACCGTGTGGTTAGTTAATATTTTTAGGTAATAATTATTTGATTTCATGGAAAGAAATATTCTATTTTTTTTGAGAAGGTTACCAATTAATTGCTATTTAGCAAAAACTGTATTAATAAACCACAAAGGGAATCATCTCCACAATAACAGAAAATAATACAAATTGTGTCTTGAATGGAAGGGAATTGTATTGGTTGGCATGTTTTTGGTTGCAAATATCAGAAGAGTCAACACACATTGATTTAAGTCAAAGGTTATTTATTGTTTATTGAACAACAATCTAGTTGTAGGCAATCCCAGAGCTTGTCCAGTGGCACACCATGTTAGGGCTCTAGGTTAGCATCTTTGACGTTATCTTCATCTTCTACTTGTTGTTGCCTCATGGGTGGTTGCAAGATGTATGTTTCAGCTCCAAGCATCAGGACTTAACATCAATATCTCAGACATGAAGACTAGAAGGAGTACTCCAAGAAAATCTTCTAAAAAACTTATCCTTTTTTTTTTGTCAGAAAGCAATATATTATCCAGGAAGCCCCTGGAAATTTTCTCTTATACCTAATTGAACAGAAATGGGCCACATGGCCACCACTAACTGCACTGAGAGCTGAGAAAATAAACATCTAGCAAAGAAGTTAGGGCTGTATTTTAAGGGTCTTAGTGTAATTGTGATTCATTTCCTGGAACTAGACATATTGTGGCTTAACAAAATCAGGTATTAATAATTAGGATAAAGGAGGGTGGAGAAAGACTTTTGGAAAATTCTCTAATGGTATCCTCTGAGATACGTTAAATGTGTTTATAAAAACTGTTAAGCTAGCCCTATACAAAGATATGTTGTCTTTGCCTTTTAAAAGAGAGAAATCATATCCTAAAAACCATCCCCTGACTTGTTATGTTCTAGTAAAGAAAGGCCAGGGGGCACAGAAAATAAAATATTCTATAGTATAGTTGAAAGTGTCAGACTAAATGCCATTTGGCTCTACCTGTTTTTCTTCACTTTTTTAAAAATATCTCTTTTTCATCTTTCAACTTCAGGATAGAGATGAACACTATAACAAAGACACCAATGGGTCATCTAAACCATTTAAACCTTGATTGTACATTGGAATCACCAGGTGAGCCTACAAAAAAAAACAAACTGATGTTGGGTCTCTCCTAGAAATTATAATGTCATTGGTCTGAAGTAAGCCCTGGGCATCAAGATTTTTTAAAATGTCCCTGGTTATTATAATATGCAAGTGAAACTGCATAAAATTAAAAACTGAGAATCATTGATCTAGTCTCAACAGTTTCTAATCTCTGGCATTCTAAAGTCATATAACTTATTGGTGTCACTTTTCCACGGGCAAAGATATAATTGCTCTACCTTTAACATGTTCTTTTAGAGGTTCTTCCAGTCCAGAATATAGAAGTATAATTATCAACTGTATTAGACAGGTTTTTTGGAGAAGCAGAACACACTTATATAGAGAAAGAAATGCAGAATCTTCCAAACTGTGGCCTGGCAGAGAGGAAGTTGGGGAAATCAATATATTAACATTCTTTTCCCCTAATTTCCTATCTCTTGCATCCCATTGGTCAAGGGACTCTGAACTGTGTAAGCTGTATAACCTTTTGGGGCACAAAGCAAGATGGAGAAAGATAGTGTGAATTTAGAGAGCCAGAAAGAGAATATACAGCACAGTTAAGTAAAACAGATATTTAGAATAAAAGAGTAAAAGTGTTACATATTTGGGCCTCCCCGGTAGTGCAGCAGTTGAGCGCTGGGTTGCGAAGCTGCCCGCATCCTCTGCAGCGCCGGTTCGATCCCCGGCTGCTCCCCGGCCACAGGCGGAGGGTCCCACATGGCACGCAGACCTCTTCTGCCGCCCTCAGCGGTGTACTTATGTCCTTCTGCTTGCTCTGGCTCTGCTGAATTCTCTCACCCTCCCACGCTTCTGACTGTACCCAGTGCTTGTATAAATAAATAAAAATAAATCTTTAAAAAAAAAAAGATGTCATTTAAAAAAAAAGTGTTACATATTTATGCCGCTTGCTCCGCACGCCCTCCCGCACCCACCATGGCCACCATTCAGCAGCTCGTAGGAAGATGGCTATTGATAAGCAGCAATGGCTTCGACGAATACATGAAGGAGCGAGGTGTTGGAATGGCTCTGCGGAAAATGGGTGCGATGGCCAAACCAGATTGTGTCATCAGTGGTGATGGCAATCACATCACTGTCAAAACTGAGAGCACTTTGAAAACAACACAGTTTTCATGTGGGAGAAAAGTTTGAAGAAACTACAGCTGATGGCAGAAAAACTCAAACCGTCTGCAACTTTACAGATGGTGCATTGGTTCAACATCAGGAATGGGATGGGAAGGAAAGTACAATAACAAGAAAACTTGAAGATGGGAAATTAATGGTGGAATGCGTCATGAACAATGTCACCTGTACCCGGGTCCATGAAAAAGTAGAATAAAAGATTCTATCATCACTTTGGACAGGAATTAGCTTCAGTGATGAAAAAACTCAGTTCAATGAGCAAATCTCCCTACTGCTGTTTTGTTTTTGTTTTTTTTTTTCATTTCTGTATTCAATTTTCCTTATCACAAATATTTTACATGTAACTATTTCAAAGTATTGGTTTCATTAGGCTTATCCCTTTGGTTAGTAAATAAAATGTGTTTGTGCTAAAAAAAAAAGTGTTACATATTTGAAATCAGTCTTGGGTGTTGAGTGAGGGCCTAATAATTGATGTTGAGGGGATAACATGTACAAACAGGGTATTTAATGGGAGCGTCTAACTTGGGAAAACCCACCCAGTAGGCTGTGCATTTGCTTATTGTCCCAGTGCCCAAATGATAGTGGTTTAAAAACAATAAACATTATTTCTCTCTTGTAGTACAAAATGAATGAGTAGTCACTTATGTTTTGAGAAATTATCACAGGCTCAAACTCCTTTTATCTTGTTGCTTTGCCCTTATCCACATGGTTCAGAATGACTCACCACCATGTCCACATTTTAGGTAGCAAAATGGCACATTCTTCCTATTCAAGGAAACAACACAGAGATTACACTTGTCATTTCTACTCCCATACTATTGGCCGGAATTCAGTCACAAGGTAACACCTTGTGGCAAGCAAGGCAGGGAAATGCAGCCTTCAAAGTGAGCAGCCATGTGCATTCATAATACTTGGGGCTTCTATTATTTCAAGGATCAAGAAGGAAATACTGGAGAAAAGCTGGCATTCTTTGTCACAAATATATTGTCTTTAAGGTGAGATCCTGGAGGTTTTGAAGAGAATGGTTTCATCAGGAGCAAAGGAATGGTAGAAGAAGAGAGATGGAGCTCTGTCGTTAGAAAAATGAATTGGGTGTTCAAGGTGCAGGATACCAGGAATTGACTTGGGTGCATCAACAGGTGATAAATGAGATTCTCACAGTAAGGGAGGTTCAGGGGCAACAAGTCTCACTTGTGGAAACCTCTGGTATAGAAAGCTGTTGTCACCTGATCCTGCACTGTGAATGCTGTTGCTTTTTCCAACCCTTGTATTTAATGATTAAAATAAAATGGGAGTTATTTATCAAGTCATTGTTTTATCTCTGGATGGATTTAGAAAGAAATATTTGTTACAGCATAGGATTGCAAAACTTAGTGCTGGATGCGGGATTTACACTTTTTTTTCAAACACAAGCAACTGCTGGTGGGCATAGAACACTGGGTATGTTGGTTGCTGATGTGATTTATGGCAGTCCATGTGTCTTCAGCTACATTTTCTGACCTTTCTTCCACAGTGTCCTCTGCCTTGATAAAATCGCTCTATTCTATGTCAAGTCCTTTAAATCCTTTTTCAGAATCAAGTATGAAACAATTTCCAATGCATTCGACTCTAACTTTCTTTGCTCATTGTTTATTCCCTGAAGACTGAATAATACATTTAGAAGTTGAAAAATTGCAATCTGCTGCTTAGTGCACAGTAATTTAACTTTTTTTTTGCCAGGTTTTTAATCTGGCCTCAGATAAACTTTTTTTTTAAACACATAAACTTTAAATCCCTAAAGTTAACCATTTGGGTCTGCAATTAACCATTTATATCCCCCAAATATGTGGAATTACTTAATTGGGTACGTGAGGGAGTAACTGTACACACAAGAAGTAATGATAAAGAAGCAGTTATATACAAAAGTAGTATTTAAAAATATAGTGGGAGGAGGGTTTTCTTAGGAGAGATCCTGGAACTTTGGTGTATGGTAGTTTATTTGCCCATTCATCCACCCATCCATCATTTCATTAAAAAAATTTGTGAAGTGTTCATCTGTATAGCACTCACTGGAATTCAAAGATTAATATGTTTCCAGTCCTTGAGAGTTTATGTCATAACTTGAGCAGATTCAATTTTGAGACATGATTGGGAAGAAAGGAAGGAAGGGAGAATATATACCAACTGTGTTTTAACTATTGCCAGAGCTTCACATCTATAACCTTATTAATGACGGGGATTAAGGAAAACAAAGGCTAACATCACAGTTTACTAGAAGACAGACATATAAACAACTAATCACTTGCCATTGGTGTTGTAATGAAAGCGGGAGTCTAAATACGGGCAGGTAGATTTTTGCCTGGGACAGATGCTTAAATTTCAATGTGGTCATGATGGATGATCAGGGGCTGTCCAGATAGAAAGATGGGAAGGGCACTGTGGGTAAAAAGAACAAAGTGTACAAAGTGTGGTGATGTGGAACAGGACAGGTTTCAGCAATGCCAGGTGATTAAAGGCTAAGAGGAAATATTGGAGAGGTTGGTTTGCATTCTGTATGTCAGAGATTTGAACTGTATTCGATAGGTGATGTGGAGCTATTGAAATTTTATGAACTTGAAAGTAACATGATTAGATACATGTTTTGGAAAGAATACTGGATAAAATAGAGAAAGGGGAGAAAATAATACATTAATTTACATTCGCTTAGCAATTATTATTGAATAATTACTATGTGTTGGTTATCTTCTAGGGTCTGGGATACAGCATGAAGCCAATCATCAAAAAATTCTTGCTCTCTCCCTCAAGTCACATACAGGATTGTAAACCAAAGTTACCTCAATTAAAAAAAAGTCTTGTTCTTATGCAATTTCAAGTGGTAGAGGGAGAGAGACTGTAAACAAATATATGTGTATACCACCCAGATGCTGATAAGGGCTATGAAGAAACTACATACTTATTAGTTAGCAAGATAGCTACAGACTTTGCAACTGGGTGACCACTTCACCCACATGATGTAACCTCTTATAGAGAAGGAAGGGAACATTTGAGCAAAGTGAAAGAGGTAAGCGTGCAAGCCACATGAATAGTTATAGGAAGAGAACTTTAAACAGAAGGAATAGCAAAAGTGCACAGCCCTCTGTCTTACATGAACGTTCTTAAAACCCCAAGATGACAAAAGATAGGGATTTAAGACTTAAATTCCAATATTTATATGAAGGGGGCACTGAGCCAGAGAAATACTGATCATCTCATGTATCATTCAGAACCTCTAGTCGTTTGTCTAAAACTATTTCAATTTGACAGGCTAGAACAAGATCCCCATTTATAGATCATTGTGGGGCCAGAATTTTGGACAGAGGTAACGAAGCTATTTTCTGTTATCCCTCTTGAAAAGCAATTTTGCATTTAAGCAATGAAGCCCAGTTATGAAGCCAAAGCCAACAGAATCTAGTCCTTTAGTTCCTTTGTCATTTTAAATCGTTCACTTCATTTTCAGATGCTCAAAATCTGTACTTGATAACCACATTTAAGGGAACTTGCCTCTAAACCAAAGAGCTACACTGATTTGGATGGCACATGTGGAAACCCCTCAGCAAATAAGTGAGATGAGTGAAACTGGGAATGTGTCTGCCTAAGCATGATCTAGCTGAGTGCGTTGCACACATACAAGAGATAAAAATGAAGCCAGACTCTGGAATGAGATCATTAGTATATACCATCCTGGGGCTGCAGTTGGACCACACACATATTTAATGCAATGAACCCACCTTGAAACGCCCCTCAGTCTCAAGAGAACAAAGTACTAGAAAAAACAAAGGGAGGGGAGGATGCTGAGTGATTCATAATGCTGTCAATGTCACAATCCACCCTGAACAGTAGAATAAAGTTAATAGAGAAACTTCTTTAGTGCTTGTTCAGCTGCCTGCCACCCAACACTGTGGCAGAAAAGCAAGGAGGAAATAGATGTATCATTATAGGATACATCAATAATAAATTACAGAAATGTCTTTTATATATAAGGAGTAGTTCCTTGTATTTTATTTGAAGTATCAATCTTTAGAATTATGTATTTGACCACTCGCCTAATGCAGACAGCTTAAATAATTTGTGTTTTTTAAAGACTATTGAGATGTTAAGAATTAGTTAAATTAACAATGTGAGCAAAAAATGTTGAAGGTAAGAATTTAAAAGTGTCAAGAAAATAGGAGAGAAGTAGTATTTCTCCTAGTGTTCAATAAATAAAAATTGCCATGGAATAAACACTAAATCTATTTATAGCGTTCATAAAGGAACATCTCTGGAAGTCAAATAATCTATCTGAATTCTAAGCATTATTTTTCAGCTCAGAGAATTTCATGGTTTAGAGTAGATCATTTTCATTCCAAAAAACTCCTAAAAATATTTCCTAAACTCTTCTAGCATTGCACTAACTTGGTTATAGAGCCAAGAACGTATACAATTCAACTCAGAGCTATCACACATTTATTTAGAGGTTAAACTCCTCCAAGATGCAATTCACTGTGTGGACAAGGTACTGCAAGAAATACAAATTGAGTGAAACTTAGTATTACTTCAAGAAACATAGAAGATAAAAAATGATAGGCCAATGAGACAGAATATGCTCCATGCTAAGGATTCAAAGGAGAGTGTATGTTTATGAGCTAGAGAAATCAAGGAAAACAGACATTGACCCAGGACCTAGATAAGATGGGTGAGATTTCAATAGACAGAAATGGGGTTGGCTTGAGAAAGGTGGGAGGCAATTCATGTAAAAAAAAAAAAAAAGGACTTATTTGAGATAAGAGTTTCCTGTTTTACTAAGGCATGGTGTACCCCTGTGTGAACAGTGGAATTAACACTAGAAGGTGGGCTGCAGTCATGGGGACTTTGGGCTTCATGTCAGCCTGAGGAGTCTGGATGAGATTCACTTGGCAGTGGGACTCCATCCACGTCAACGTGACATGATGTGATGTGACACTTCTTTGCTTATGCTCTGATGCCCATGCTTTTGTACTCAGCCACATTAGCCTGCTGAAAGGGCAAAGCTCATTCTCCAGCCCCTGGAATGAAATTTGTCCTCATCACAGATTTACTTGGAGGGTCGAACATAGGAAGGGTCATTTGGTTATGATCTCCCCAGGTCCCCAGAGACAATCTAGTTGCTGATTGTGGCCTCTGCGCCCTGGCTTAAATTTGGGTGTCATTTAAGCTCCTGAATAACTTCAGA